TAGAGTTTGTGTTGATCAAGTGATGTGATGTCTACAGTAAGAAAAGAATCAACAAGGACTGCTTTGGAATGTGCATTGCATTGCAACTGTGGCGCTACCAAAACAGTTAAATTTTAAAAGCGTGGTTATAAGATCTAACAGATCTTCTTGTTTGTTACAGTTCACAATCTCCCTAATCAATATTCATTTGTGTGAGTGTCACATCAGTTTGTTGAAGGAAACAACATTGAATACAAGAGGGAACTTAACAACATGATCATCTTTATAACAATGCACCAAGACTGACTAATCAAGTTGCAAAGATCAGACCACACACTCCTGACAAACACTTTCTCCTTGACTCTCAAGGTAACTTCCACCCAGATTGTCAAAATACCAGTCATCACCCAGAGAATCTCATAGCACTATCTATTGATGCTTCTGGATTCAAATCATTTGCTATGTTACATTGATGATCTTGTTACTGACTGAAGTCGTTGTCAAATATAACAATACAATTACGCCAACAAAATGTCAAATGTTCATGTGTATAGACATCAGACAAGGAAAAACGAAACAGAATTTGTGTTGTTTCAGGATTGAAATGGAGGATTGGGAACATGTCACCACCTGTAAGAACCTGATGCTATCAAGTCAGGAGACACACACAGGTCACAAGGGTTTCATCTGTGTTGGGACAACACATGTGTATGGTGAAGACATCACATGCAGAGGGCGAGTAAGTACTAGGGAGTTTAAGCAAATGACTACAGCTGGTGCTACTACGGCTGCCGTGACTGAAAAGGTTTGGGGAGAGTACATCTCGGTGGTCTGCCAAATTTTAAGTTTAGCGAGTAAAGCAAAATACAAAGATGAAAGAAACATTGGCTAAGGAGTTTAAAATCTCTTTTATTTGGTTTCTCACAGCCAAATGGCTTCGCTCAAAGGACGATGGCCGTTATTTGGTTGGACAAACAGATTATTTCTGCCGAAAGCGAATGCCATACACTTTGTACCATAACAATTTGATGGATGAAATATATAATTTCAGAGACAAATATGTCAAAGAATATTGAGTGAAGAACACAAATATATCAATACTCAAAAAAGCAAAATAGCATCGTATAGTTATCCAGATATAAAACATCTTCACTAAATCCTCAAAGCAAACTTAACCAAAGAAAAACAACCTCGTGCTCAACACAAATATTTCACTAGACTCGCTTCGCCATTCCAACACCTTTGCCAAAACTTATCGTAAATTCAGGATACGGATTTACAAGCTTATGAAAGGCAACCTTGACCCAATCTTTGACTTAAATTGAGTTTAAAGGATATAGTATTCGATAGAATTCTTAAAATGCCGCGATGTCCGTTGAAAAGGGCCAGAGAAGCAAAATAAACCAGACATAGTAACCGCTACTGCAAAACATCCCGACTCACATAGTCAGATTTCACGCTACAGCTGGATGCAACCGACATACATGGGCAGTGTCTCATTTTGGGGGAAATTTACTTCCGGCAGCTGTATCAGCGCCAACTGTAGCGATTTGCTTAAACTCCCTACTATTGCAAGGGGACACCTTGTGTTCTTATGTTTTAAGAGGTTGAAAGGTTTGTCACTGAACATTTAATAAAATTCTGAAGAGGACCTAAGCAACTTACTTCTCCCTGTGCATGCTTAGTTCTGTAATGTTTGTTTGCTTTGAATTTGCTTTGTGTATAAAACACAACACAATAGAATTAAACAAGTTATTGTTTCTATTCAATAGATTTTGATCTTTGATATCATTGAAGTTGTTCCTGAGCCAGGCCAACCACTGACCAAGAACAAGTTTAAGGTAAATCATTGCAATCTCCAGCACAGAACAAACTAACTCAGCAAATTGTTATATATACATGTATTACTAATTTGCTTTAGTTTCAGATTTATTTGCACACAGAATACAGAAGCAGTTGTTCAAGTTGTCAATACACAGCCTGTTGTCTACTGTAATTAAATTTTGTTTAGGGATAACCTGAAACACAGTAGTAGTGATGAAGGAAGGAAATGTAGTGTTATGTTTAGTAATGACTGCATGCTCCATGTTTTACCATAATAGACATTCAGTGTTGTTGGTGACTGTCCTTGTGTTACAACTGTCTCATTTAGATGCTGTATGGTAAGGAACAAAAAGGTCCTGTTAGCGCTCTTACTCAAGTCAATGGTTACCTTGTGAGTGCCATAGGACAGAAGGTGCGTTGTAACTGCTGACACATCAGTCCATGTTGCTTTTAACTTGTACCTCACACATATCCATGCAACAAAACAGTAGTTTGTTGTTCCTTGTGTTGCTGCAAGGTGTGTATGTGTGCATGAACTATATCAGTCAATCTTCCAATCTAGAAGGATTATTTACAAGATTTGTTAGTCATTCACCACTTCATAGAACTCAATTAATTTTTGTAATAGTAGTTACTTTCTGATGAACTGAGTATGCTCTGGCATTATGACAATTAACAGTGAGGTGTTTTGTTGTAAACATGTGGATTTTAACTTTGATAACAATTGTAGCTGCATTGCCCTGAGTTTGATTTCCTTTCAGATCCTTTCTGAATTTTAAGGGTTTTTATTCCCTGATTTTATTCTCCCCTGATTTTATTTTAGTAGTGTTAATATGCAGAAATGATAATAGTATTAACTATATCTTTAATCTTAAATTACTTGTTATTATTTCTATCTAATTAATCTAGTTATATGCATAAGCAATAAATGGCCCGCTTAGATTAGCACTTGCTATCCGCAGGCCAAATAACATGTAATTTTACAATGAAAGAAAATAAAGTTTATGGTGGTTGTTGTTGTTGTTGTTGTTGTTGTTGAGGTTGAGATTTACCTGCTGGTCCTGGAGGACAGTGAATTTTGAACACTTTTTCAGCAAAAATTAAATGATGTTTGTTTTGTTTGTTTTATTACTGATAGATTTACATCTGGAACTTCAAAGATAACAATGACTTGGTGGGAATGGCATTTATTGACACGCAAATGTACATTCACACTTTGACTTCCATCAAGAATCTAATTATTGCAGCTGATTTGTCCAAGAGTATTACGCTGCTGAGATTACAAGTAATGTCTTCTTCTATACTAATCACATGGGTGGGAATAAACTACTGTATGTGAAAGTCACAACTGCGGGATCTTATGCTTGTATTATAACTAGCATGCCGCATGGCTGATAGAGGCCCCTAGTGCCTGTGTGGGATCTTATGCTTGTACAGTTGGACCCTAGTAATTCGAACTCGGTTATTTCAAATTCCCTATTATTTTGAACTCAGATTTGCCCTTTAGTCATTTACTATCAGCTTTTTTGAACTCCCACCAGTTCAAACTTTTTTTTGGTTCGCCTGAGAGTTCGAAATAGCAGGGTTCAACTGTATTTAGTCACTTGTAATACAAGGTCAGTCTGCGAGGCAAAGTCTTTTCCTCACTGTACTTTACTATTTCCAAGTTCCAATATTTCACAAATGTGGCAACAAGAGCAGATTTCAGCCTTGTTATGGTATGAAATGGAGGGGTTTATTTTTCAGTCACAAATTCAAGTATCTTGTCCGGTAAATAGAAATATCACAGTGTAGTTCTAATGTGTTCCTTACTCATGTCTGCTGTAACGTTTAGGAGGAAACAAAGACTTTGGCATTTGTAAGCAAGGTTAGTGTTATTGTTTTGCTTCTAAATTTTATTTCAATAAAATCATATTTGATGAGTGGTTTGAATCCAAAAGTGTCAACAGTCTATCTAGTAAGCTGATTCAGATGAGCATGCCTCTGACAATGCCCATTCAGCTTGTCAAGTCATCAGTAACAGTCTTTGTTGTGGCTGCTTTACTGTGACTCAGAAAATTACTCTAGATGTCTGAACAAAATAATTAACAATAAATTGTTATAATTATTTTTTGTTGGAAGCTTTAAGTTTGTTTCTTGTTTGTTATGGATAACTTGGTTCATCTGGTTAATGTTTTTGCTTTGTTTAGGATCCCAAACCACTTGAGGTGTACGGAGCTGATTTTGTTATTGATGGTCCTCAGTTGGGATTTCTTGGTATGGCATAGCTTTCTTTCTCCTTGTTAACGTTAACAAGTTTCATCCAGGATCTTTTTTTCTTTTTCTATCTCTCACATTCACTTAATGTTTACAAGTCTTCCAATTTTAGTGTGTTGTTGGGTAACACACTTCAACTAGCAAGCCTAGAGTACAAGCAAACAATTTTTTTCTTAGGTTTGATCTGTGATGAACTTGCACCTTACCAATAAGGGTAACAATTCTCCTGGTTACTTCATGCTACAACTAGCTATTTAGGGTGCTTTCCATTTCATCTAAAATTTTGGAATGTTCAGACCTGAGTTGATGGTATGGAAATTTCCAGGGAGCATTTTCAGAAAATCTGCAAATTGTGGAATTTCCAAAATGTGAACCATTCAACGGAAATTCAAGAAATTCTAGGAGGAGAATGAAATGAAATTGAAATTCCTGGTAAGAAGTGTTTGAAAATTGAGGGAATATCTCTTGTGGTTGTCCTCTTTTCCTGAAATTCTGGGAAATGCTGTACCATTTAACAATAGAAATTTCAAACCAAGTTCCTAAGTTTAAACCAAAATTTTTGGTTAAATGGAAGGCACCCTTACTGTCAGCTTCTTGAGCCACTAAACTCTGAGATCCCTGGGCTTCAACCTTGAGGAATGGAACAGTTTTAAAGATATTTTTTTCTGCTGAAAATTCTCTGTTTTTTTTTTATTATTTTAATTCTGTTAAGTTCTCTTTATTATCATTACACTTAAACAGTAAGTGCCTTCTGTAAGTGCCCTCTGCCCTTTGTAAATGTGAATGCCTGTCTTTAATATCTTAGTGTACACATCTCAGTTGTTGTTGTGTTGTTGTTTCAGTATCAGATGTTGACCAGAACTTGCTACTACTCACTTATCAACCAGAAGGTGATCACTCAATACCACTGTCTTGGTATCTTTTTCAAACGCTCCTAAATTCATGACTGTATTCTGTATTCTAAGGACCAGCCATGAGTTTTCTTTGCCATGAAAGTCAAATTTTAATGCATTCTCCTGCAAAAAGTTGTTGATAGATTTTTGCTTTGGACTCCTTTAGGGAAGTTGTAGCTGAAAACTGTAAAACTTCTTAACTTTTTTGCCAGAAAGCTCGTTTTTGTTTTAATTGAAATTATCCATCCTGGCTATGGCTTATCTGTTTTCTGACTGGTATTTAGTTAGTTCCACACATTTGTGATTAAATTCTATACTGACTGACTTCTACAGCTCTTGAAAGTTTTGGTGGGCAGCGGCTACTTCAGCGAGCAGATATCAATGTAGGAACCAACATTACATCATTCTTCAGGATTCGTGCAAGAACAACTGGAAAAGTAGGCGGCAAAGACTTAAGACAACTGACTTGTTTTGGTGAGTGAAGGAGAAGCTTGTGCTCTTTGTCTGCAAGCTATAAGACAGCTATATGTGTAGCTCATGGACAGTTCAATACTGGATTGACAGGGGAAAGTTTAAAATGGAGTGCCTGTTGAGAATGACAGAAACGGCCTGTTGAACTCTTTCAGGCATGTGTGGCAGTTAATTTCGATTTTTGGATCAACTGTCCAATTTTCGTATTTAGCTTTGGTAAGACAGACAGATAGCAACAACAAAGAGCAAAGCCAAAGAACAAAAATTTACTGTGACGTTGTTTTACTCAGAGCTCTAGTTGGTCAGCTATGTTGTTTGCATTTGTTGTGATTTGACGAAAGTGATTTCTGTAGTATCAGGATTGTTCAGACCTCCAAGGGAAACGAAAATTGGTTTGTAAACTTGGATAGTTCAAAACATCAGGGGTAAAATTACAGTGTTTAACTGAGGGGAAGGGAAGCAACTTTGGGTTTGATCTACTGGAGGTTTGAAAAATCAAGGGTTTGAGAAATCAGCATTCCACTGTACTTTGATTATGTTTCTATGACGTTTGTTGAAAAGTGTCTCTAAGCTCACGAAAGACAGTAAATGACACATACTCAATGTTTCAGGCACACTGGATGGAGGGCTTGGACTCCTGTTGCCTATGACAGAAAAAACCTACAGGCGACTACACATGTTACAAACCAAGCTTGTGGAGTGCATTCCACATATAGCAGGCCTTAATCCAAAGGCTTTCAGGTTGGATAATTTGTGATGAATGTTGTTCATCTCAGACTTAGTCATGAATCAATTCTATTACATACTTCATGTCCCAAAATTATTCTTGCTTAAAGCCTGGTAACACTTTTACTGTAGCTTTCTCTTTCATGAAGTGTTGATATCATACAACCTTGTTACAGCCTTGTCTACTTATTACTTTAATACAGGAAAGTTAACAAAAATCTAGGATGTGAACAGTTACTCTTGAAGTGTTTTTCATCATAGCATCACTCTCTTTCCCTTACTTTAATTTGTGTGATTGTTCATTTGTTTGTTTGTTGCTGCTGTTGTTGTTTTTTTTCTGTTTGTTTCCTTGTTGAACATGGTATTTACGTTAATAACTTGATATTGAATGTTCTGGTTAGAGAGGGGTAGGTTGCGGTAAACTTTTACCTTAGGTTCTAAAAGTACGATATTTTTGGCTGTTAATTGATGGATCTCAAGTAGTGTATTTAAAGACTGTTAATTTAATCTAATTTAATTTAATTTAATTTAAGATCAAAACTGAAGTCCATTCTGGTGAAATTAACTAGTTTTCCTTTTCATTGCTTTGCAGACTTGTTTGTGGAAAGAAACGCAGCCTTAACAATCCTCATAGGAACATACTTGATGGAGAATTACTCAACAAGTTTGTTCAACTTGGTACAATGGAACGACTTGAGGTTACTAAGAAAATTGGCACCACACCTGCTCAGGTATGATGGCTAAAACTACTTAGTAGTAAGCACAGCAACTGAGGTAGTGCAATGCTGGGAAAAAACCAACCAAGCCTCAACAAAAATATTATTATACCTCCCCTAAAATAACTTCCATCCTAAAATACCTCCATCCTAAACTAAATGTAATTTACAGGGCATATAATTTTCCCTTCTCTATTTCTTCCTAATCTAATTGTTTCAAATTGTTGTATTTGGAGAGAAGTAGAGGAGTTATAAATTATTTTAAATATAAACTAAAAATAAAAACTACAGCAAACCACTCAAACTGAAAACAACTAACACCAAATATTTTTTAAAACATGTGGGAGGCACGGTGCCCTAAAAGGATTTACTTTTACCAAATTACCAGGCTGTGTTGTCACTTCGTCCCACAGACTCACCACACAACATTAATCCGTTTTGTAAAGAATTTCCAGAGTTATGTTTAAATTTTTAAATTTAAAATGATGTTCACCAGACAAACTACCTTTTTTCTATTAGTATGCTTTCCTCACATTTCATATATGATTGAAGTTGAAGTGTATGATCTGAAACTCAAATGTATGAGGTGCTTCTCATGTTGTGTTGCTATGGTCTAATTCCTTTTGCTGTTTCTAGATTCTTGATGACCTGATGGATGTCGAAAGAGCGTGCACGCACTTCTGAGTTCAGTCTTCGTGAAAGCAGCAGCTAAAAGACTATGAAACAAACAGGCAGCCAAAGGAAACATTTTGGTTATTTATCGAAAATGTACAGTGATGATAACATTGTTTTAGTACTTGTTTGGTGTTTATGACTTGTAGTCACATAGACAAAATTTAATGTTTTTTTGTTTCACAGTCAGAATATCCAAATCATGAAATAAAGTTATATGAGCGTTATTAGTGTTTTCATGCTTTTCTCTCTTTTAGACTTATTAGCAGTTTCCAACATTATAGTCACTAGATGAACAGTATCACTAGAAGTTGGAAGTTGCCAAACAGCATACTGTAGCATTCAGAATGTAATAAACTTCTGGAAATAACTTGGACAACCAGCAATGACCTCCCTCCTGCTGAAAAAGGTCTGAAACTAAAATTCAACAACTTTGGAATTAGTTTCACTCCACAGATTATAGGGGTTTTTTTATGGTTGTGTCGCCTTAGAGTACGGATATTAATCCCTCAAAATTTGTTTTGATTTTAAGGTTTGTTTTCCCTGAAGTTGAGCTTTAGAGCAATTTACAGTATACATAAAACATAAAAGATGTCTTTCCTAAAGATACCTTGTCCATTCAATCAAGTTTTGAAATAAAAATCTTGAGATAGTAAAAAGAATTTTGTGTTGATGTCATGGCTTCTTGAACGATTACACAGCAGCTGCCACATTGCACTTTTGAGTTGTGTTCAAACTCACGATGTCAATCAAACCACTCATATAACAGACAGCAAAGGGCCAGAATATTAATAATATGGAGATGCCCATATTAGAGATGAATTCTGGTTTCTCTGACAAGTGAATTGTCTGTACTAGGGAGGAATGTCTGTAATGTGAAGTTTTTTCGTACCTGTGTGATCACGAAACTTCTTCAGTGTGATTCAAGACTTGGAGACCTAAGAAAAACATTATTTTGTAGGGTCCCTGATTTACTGTTAGTCAGAAACACCACACATCTTTGTAAGGCTAAATCATCAAAGTGGGTTTCTTTTAAAAGGGGGAGTTGAATATCACAATGAATTGAGTACACTAAGCAAAATAATGCTGACTGAACACTACAGTGAAAATTTCAATAGTAAGCTGTGGGCATATTTTTCTTTTCAAAAGGTGGTTCCTTGGGGTTGTTTTTATTTTATGTTGTAGGTAGTAGTCTGCATGCAGACATCTCTTCTTTCCATTACTTCACATTACTTCACAAGGGGTATGGCCCACTACTGTTTGGTTATAGGTTACCAGTACTACCCAGCAGTTTGTTAGGCTGCCTCAAAAGCTGAATACAAATTGGGTTGGCTACGTAGTACTTATCAATCAGCATCTAGCATGAATGCCAGACACTGAGCAATTCTAGCCACAGAAAGAAAATCAAATGAATTTGAAAATCAGACGAGGAACACAAAGGGAATGTTGGACTCAGCGGGATTTGCATGATAATGACAAGGTTAACAACACTGATCAACTGAGCTATTGGGTCAGCTGGGAGTGCCTCATGACATTTAAGTCAGAGAACAGCAACTCTTCTGATATCCTGGAGGATCACAAAGATAAAAAGTTGTAAATAGTAATAATTCAGTACCAAATTAAGCTCAAGTTTTTATAGCAGACGTTTCAGGCCTAGCCCTTCCTCAGTGCTAAGTTTTGAATGGGACACATCATTGAATAATGGACAGTTGTACGCGTGACTGTAACGGATTGCTAAAATCTTGCGAGTGTCAAACTGTTTAAAAAAATAAAATCCATGGTTAGTCCATGCGGCCTAAGGGTGACAAGATGAAAAATTTGACACATTTCATCACAATGTCTGGCATTAGTACTGGGCACTTAGTAGTTGTTAGTGCTTAGCACTGAGAAAGGGCTAGGTCTGAAACGTCTGCTAAAAATTTGAGTTTAATTTGGCACTGAATTATTACTATTTACAACTTTTGAACCATTTACTGTGCCACACAGCAACTGATCCTTTCGGATCACAAAGATAGCCACTCAGACCTCCACTGAGGAAGGGAAAGTAGCACAAGTGGCAACCCTCTGGGAGGAGAGGATGTCTACAAAACAGATAACCTATCACAATACCCTGACCAAGAGAACAGGATTCACCTAGGTTGACATCCAGATGTTAGTCCAAGGTAAAGCTCTCTGGGAAAGTGCTGGTAGTGGCTAATCCTCCTCATCAATTGCAGTACCTTAGGAAGTACACTTTTTACAAGTTTGGCTTGAAAGGGACAGTCTAGCGAAACCTTCAGGGAAAAAAGTTCTATTTTAACACAAAAGTTCAAGTTCTGTGTGATTTGCAGCTAGTACCAGTAACTTTATTTACAAAATATGCTTCAGATTTTGAAAGGTGTTACATGTCAGGCTTTTCTTATGCATTCTCCCCAACTTGATTGTTTTAAATTATTGCAAGGATCACAAATCCCCCCTTCCCTACTGAGCATCCCTTGGCACTGCTACTGTAAATGGCTATTCCAGGCAAAGTTTAGCATAAACCAACAGAAGCATCAGCCATAACTGGGAACAGTTTATAAACCACAGCTGTGTTGCTCTTAGGGCCGATTGACATTAATCCAGAATGAACCGTTTTCCAGGATAAAAGTGTTTTTGACTGCTATTGTTTTGTGAAGTTTGAAACATACTGAGAAGTTATAAAACGGATTTACTTAGTTTCTCACCAATCCATGAAGCCTGATCATATTTTGTACAACCCAGAGAAATAACCAACTAACAACTGATTACATCTTATTTTCATTGTATATTTATTTTTCTTTTTACAATGTTATAATTACAAAGCTCAGAGAGTAATAAGTGTTTGAGTAAAAAATACAGTCAGAAATGATATTGATGTTGTAAACTGTGTAGAAATTTGGAGTCTAAGTACCTTTACTTGCAGCTAAAGTGTAAAGTTGTATGTTTTTACACGACAAAAAAATCCTTCTGTAGAACTTTTTATACATTAGCGCAGAAAGAAAATTAAATTAATGTCAAAAACTGAACTGTAAAGAATTAACTTCCCTTTTAAAGGCAAATTAAAACAACCTTAGGCAAAGAAGACAAATTATGCTAATTTTAAGGCTGTTTCAGCTACAAAATTATTGTCCCCCCTGCCATTCCCCCCCTCCAAAAAAAGAATTCTTAAAATCCATCTGTCAGCTTTCATTACTGCAAGAAAAAAGAAATAACATTTGATTAGTTTACTACATAAGAGTTTCCTGTTTAATGTTTACCACAGTGGTGTAGAGAAGGAAGGAAACTGTAACGGCTGGGTCGCACTAGAGCAAATTCAAATATTTCCAATTTTTCGTGAGGAAGAAAATTGGCAAAAATTTTGCAAGCTCCAAATTTTGGCAGTGGTCACATTAGACCAACATTTTGGAACCAAAACGTTACTAATTGAAATATACATCACAAGATCTATGTTTCTCAATTTTGTATTTCATTAGATTTCATGCAAGAGTTTAACTCTTCGCAGATTTTTCTCCACACTGCATGTTCTCGACTCTCCACTCTACAACAACTCATGATTTTTGGCCCATAATTGGATGAGCAGATTTTGCTTGGCTTGCATGCGTTTGTGTTGTTGCTTGCACTACTTACGATCGAAGAAGATTGTCTCGCTGAAGTCCTCTCTTCAAATTGCTGCCAGTAACCACATCCATGGTACCAGTCATAAGAATTTGAATTAAAACACCGCTCATGTTCCTCGTTTGCATTGAAATAACTGTAAAAAAATCCTCAGATGGACCAGATAAGCAATGATTTTGTCATGCCATCACACCTGCCAAACTGGACTAGCCATCAAAGTTGTTTTCTCACCGTAATTTTATCCAGACATGTTTTAAAAATATGACAGTTAAATGGTTAAAAAGACAAAATTGTTTGCTTTGTCAAAATTTGGAAGCCTCCGAGGCAGCACTTCGGCTTCTTCAAAGATTGGAGAAATTTTGGCAATTAGCCAAAATTTGGCAAGTTTTTGAAACTGGGGGTCACACTTATTTTACGCTACTTGTCGACAGATTTATTACTTATAGAGACAAAATTGGCTCTAGTGCAACCTGGGCCTAAGTAGCTCTCACAACTTGTGGTCTTGAGTAATCAATTTTGAAATGGCTTCCAGTGACGCTGTTTAAACGGTAATATTTTTTAAAAAAGACAATCTTGAAGAAAAGCAGACAGACAGAAAGACAAAACATGAAGGGAAACAAATGTAATTTGTATAATTTCTACAATTTAAGCTAGTGGAAGCTTAAATATGCTGTCTGTAAATTGTTGAAGTTCTGTAGCTCGTACAAAACTTAAAAAAGGCAACATTAGACTTGAAATACTGCATAAAATGATTTATAAGCGCTGATTTTGAATGTACAACTTTGTCAGACATGACTGCTGTAGATCACATGGCTTACATTGCACCAAACACATGTATACATAACTTTGCCTGTTTCTATGGTTCTCTTAAGGTTGTAACCCATTTTTACAGTTCCACAACATTTTCTGTGTTGTAGATTCTGTGTTGCAGATTTGTTGTGTGCTAACTGTATGTGACAAAGGTGTCCCATCTAACTCATTGTGAAAAGTGTCTCCATAATTTACCTTTATGCCTTTGCCTTGTTTTGTACAGGTAAGTATAGCTTGAATTCTGCCGGAAGTTCATCTTCTGAGTAAAGTCGGTCGGAAAAGTAAACTCGTCTGATTCTGCAGTTTGCGTGGATCTGTAGTTCAAATAAATTCTAATCAATAAGTGAGAACAACCCAATAAATACCTACATGTTCAAGGCAGCATTAGCTATTTATACCCAGGTATCACTTTAAAATCGATTTGATAACACTAATCTCAAAGTACTAGAATCACAGAGAAAGAAAGCTTTTTTACCACAGAAAAAGAACCCTAGCTAACTTTTATAAACTTGAATTAGTGTTACAAGTAAACTGACTGTGAAACAAAAGCCGCCGGGAGGGTTTGTCGAGGGGTTAAACTTTTTGCCATCATTTACTCTAATTTCTGATCATCAGATTGTGCAAAAAGCTTCCAAAACAGGTGAATAAAAACATTTTCTCATGAACAATTTTGTGTTATAGTAGACAGATAATCTTTCCCATTTTCCTCCTGAGTATTGTTGTAAGTGTGTTAATTGAATGTTACTGCTTGCAAAATATAACCTTCACAAAAAGGCATTAGGGAAGCTAAATTTTTCTGAGCCTTTAACAAAGCTTAAAAATGATTGTCGATATCACCAACACAGCATTCATTGTGTAAAGTCACCTTGTGAGTGTAAACTAACTTGATTATTGTAAAGAGCTTGTGGTACAGGCAAATAAACCATGGTGCATATTACAGTTTTTTGTCAATAAATATACTAAAAAGTTTTCATGGTAAACTCATATACAGTCAGCAGATCTCACAGGAAACTTTATTGTTCTTTGAAGGGTTGCAAAACCCTTAAATTTAATAAGACCCCTGAGCGTTACAACACAAACACAAAGAATTATAGCTCTAATCTTACCTGAACTCGAAGTGTTTCGATGTAGTTTGTACCATATGCTCGTCTCGTGAAATCTGATAGATTAAACTGTGAGGAAAAAAACAGTTCATGTTCATACCACACATTACAAAAACAGTATGTCGCATTAGCAACAGAATTTCGATTTCGTTTCTCTTTATAAAGAACAAAAACTTCAAAGGAAAGAATATTTACCAAATAAATCAAAGCCGATGTAAGCTTTTAAGCTCGTACAACAAACAACCAAACTTCAATCAAAATCTATTTGATATAATGTCCTCTTAATTTGTAACACGCTAGCAACAGAGGTTTTCCTAAGGAAAATTCAATTATAGTTTACCTGAATTTGATTCCACCCGTCGTCAAGTCTCATTGGCATCGTACAAATGAAAGGTTTTACTCGTGTGGTCGACTGATAGTTGGAAGCGCGAAATCGCCTCTTTACATTCTTGTCGTCCAGGACCTGGAAGTGTCAACAAATGAGGACGTTGTGAGGAAGTAACGCAAACTTCGAATATTTTCTAAAACTACTGAATTTCTAACGATCTTAGCTCAAATATCTCAAGAAGCCATTCGTATCTTGTTTACCTGAACTTCGAAGGTGAAGTATTTTTTCAGATTTTTGATGATCATCACAAGAAATGGTAGCTTGATTCCAAGTGTCTTCTTGGGATCTGCTGGACATGTAATGTAAGTTGTACTGCAAGGGAGAAAAATACCAGAGGTGAATTAGAGAGAAATTCAGGTAGTATGTCAACGAAAACCACAGAAAAATGTAACAACTGGACAGACAAAAAATACAGTTTTCGTCTTTTTCTACAAGCTACACATTCAGGGTCGATCGAGAGGAGTTATTGTTAGTAACCCATTCTGTTTTTACCTGACGTTGGTTCCAACAACCTCCAATACAAGCGACTGAATATCGTTATCGGTTATTCTCTTGATATGTCCATTTCTAACCTGAAACAGAAAGAAGTTTAACAGTTTAACAGAAAATCTCGATCAAAAACAAACACACATGGAGGAACCACGTTGAATCGACTGCATATCACGTAAGCTCACTTTCTTATCCCAGATCTGTAACGGCTTGCTTCCAATACTGTACAATATGGAGAGAAATCCCGATTGAAACGTGTTCTTAAACATGTTTATCTGTGTTGAAATCTTTTTTTTCCTCAAATATATCTACAGAAATCACGAACCACCCCCTTCCTTTCACAACCGCAACCAGTGTGTTGTAGTACAAGTGAACAGTGGCTTAGTGTCGCTAGGCGCGAGTTTTCTGTTTGTTCATGCGCGGCAGAAGAGTTGCTATGGAAACTTGCCCTACAACAACCTCGTTTCCAACTTGCCTGGTTCTTAGGCCTCGAAATGTCGCCGCGGTCAATCGTTTCGGGATCACCTGGTGCGAGCGAAAAACTTGGATAGACCGCTAGCAAAATCCCAGAGAATGCCGCGATTTCCGACAGAGAAAAAAACAGACAGTTTTGTTTGGAAAAAGAAAGACTCTACATTCCAGATCCGAATGCAGACCAATGCAAAAGGAATTACAGACTCTGTGAAAACTTCTCATAAATCTAGGTCTAGGTAAAGTTTCACATAAGTTTTTAATTTATTTAAATATTTTAAGTGTGAAAAAATACTCCTAGCTTGGAGATTGCTTTCATTTCAGAACCGAGGTCCATTTCCGTGCCCAGAGCCTACAAGTCGAGCCGCAAAGCCGAGCGTGGAGCGAGAAAATATGTGGTCACGTGAGGGCTTTGCGAACGTAGCTGTATTGCAAATTAGAAAAATTCGGTACCTGCATTGACTATCTAACGGACGCAAAAAAAAAAATAATAATAACAATAAAAAAACAGCAACGAATCAGGGATGGCGGAGTGTATTTTGAATTGGGAGGTGGGGGNGGGGGGGGGAGGCTTCCAAGCGAGCACCAGAGGCCCTAACTTGAAGAGAGTCTGGCGATATTTGTAAAATTATTATTTTATGTATTTTTTACTTGAAAATGGGGGGACCCCCAGCCCCATATCCCCGGCTCCGCCGTTCCCGAAAATACGCCCCTTAACCATTCTCCTCCCCATTGTACCTGAAGAAGGCTGGTTTGGCCAGCCGAAATATAGTACACCTTCAAACAATCATTCTACGTTGTGTGGGTTTTTGCTTTTGTATTCTTCATTTTATATGTAAAAGCCGATTAGATCACTATTGATCCAACGCATACCAGCAGGATCATCGTTCCGGTTGCTTGCTTAAACATTTTATCCTCCCCAGAGGCCGCGCTCCTTTTGGTCAACACCAAGAATCGCGACCTTTGGAAAGGTCCAGTACCGGAAGTCCGCGATTCACGAGCTTCCCGTCACTCTGCGCATGCTCAGAGTCAAGTCTGACAAATCTGATTGGCTGAGAATACGAAACGATTACTCTGTGCATGCTCAGAAAATTGGACCTTATCAGAGGTTTTGATTCTTGGTGCTGACCAAAAGGAGCGCGGCCTCTGGGGACGAGAATGCCCTTTAACCTGTCTCAATAGGAGCCCATGGGCTCAAACATTTTTATCTCTTCAGAAACACGGAAGCAGCTGGACCGAATTGACGGGAAATAAAACACTCAACTATTAATGAACTTGAAGTTAACGTGAAGTTAACCCGGCTGTAGCGAGTTTGTGAAGCTGAGGTTAGGAGTGTTCTCTCTTCGTCAGAGAAAAGGACTTACACTCGAAACGTCAGTTTTCAACAAATATAACGGTCTAACCTTTTTATTAAAGTGCAATTACGACGTTAATCTATTCGAAGCGAACTTTCCCATGTTTTATCGCGAATTACCTTTTAATGGGAAATTTTATCCCTTGACGAATTCCATGAAAAATTTGGATTGAAAGTCAACTACCTGCACTACTTTCAAATTATCGCTGCCTTGCCAAGTTCGCTGAAGCAAGCTACACTGCAAACCCCAATCTCCAGTGAAGTAATATTCCGACCACTCCAGTCTATGCTGTACGACAGACCTCCATCCAAAGACGTAGACTGGATGTTCTCTTGCTTCTCGTAAAACAAACCAAACTCCAAATGCGATGGAGAATTGAATATTGTTCACTAAATTGATTTTGCAAGTTCCCCCCTCAATATAGCAAGGATTGTAAATAATAAGTATTGTAACCAGTGTGTGTGAGAATTCAAGGAGAGTCTAGGAAACAGTTGAAAGTGGTTAAGTTCCTCACTGACGGCACTCTCGCCTTAGCCTGGATGTAAAGTTCGCAGCTTTAAGCCATGCATGGGAGGGAGAAATTCAGAGTAACACAGATCCAAGCCAGTGGAATCGCATCCCCAGTGAGGACAATGGAGCTGACGACCTGTCGCGAGGGTTCCACGTTCATGGAATCCAAGACAGATGAATGGATGGCACGGAATTCCCATGGTCGACTCAGCTAGCTTCGCCACCTCCGGATGCAGACTTCGAACTTCGTCAGATACGGGTATCGACCCCAGTCGCAGTACAGAAAGCCGCATGATGTTATTGATTCATCCTCGTTCTCCGGCTGGAGAAAACCAATCCAAACGACGGCACGAATACGAAGGCCAGCACCGAAAATACAACTGAGAGACACGGCGAATACGGAAAGGAAGGACTGTGAACTCCTGAAGAGCTTCAGCACGTGGAGGGTTGCTGGATTAAGCACTGCGCAGAACACCCTATACATAGTCGCCTGGAGAGAGGTAACTTCAAGTCTTTCAGCCCGTTTAAAGAATTGGAGGCAGAATCGACAAGGCCGTAGTGACATACGAAGCAAAGCACCCCAATGACCCCGATAACGAACCATGCGCACAAATATGGTCACAGTGGAGTGGCAACCATAACCAGAAAATTTAGGAGAAAATACGGGATCATCATAGCCAAGAAAAGTAAGTCTGTCAAGTCCAAATGTGAGGTCTACAGGGGATGTTGCACAAACAAGACGCATGCAGCTGATGGCAGATCTCCCTGTGCCTAGCACTGCAAAGACTGCAGTTTACCTTTGAAATTGTACACTTCTGTTTCCGGATGTGGTCCTGGTTTCGGATTTGAACGAAAATATTGGCGGATCGACAGATTTGGCGAAAAGAAGGCACAGATCGGTGGATTTGCCTGCCCCTATTCACCCCCCTCCTGATTGAAGAATTGTTGCTCATGGCCTCAGATCATCCTCCACTGGCGTTAGACATTTTACGCACAAATAAATGAATACTTATCCTTGCTAGTTCTAACGAAATTTCGGGAGCTGCATTTTAATTTCTGCGATACCCGTAAAAAAAATGTATAAGTATAAATTTTCGTGAGTATCAGTTTTCGCCTTTTTTCCCAAAAGGCGAAAATCACGAAATTTTGTACGTCCCAAAGCTAGTAACAATAAGGTAAACAGCTCATTTAGTAAAGATTTAAACATTTCCTTTTTAACTTGGAAAATGTTTATATTTTCACGTTGTAGTGGTTGGACGATGAACAGACAAGAGAATTGAGTAGCATTAGAACGACGCATTTCGCTGTTATTTATACCGTATTGTAAAGAAATACTTCAAAGATGAATACGGACATGTCGAAATGATTTGAAGAAAATAGCTGATAAATAGAAAAAAAGGCATAACACAAGACTGGGGTTCAGAAGTTATTACAACAAGAGGTAGCCCATCCNTCCCGGTCTATCACTCTCCACATGGCGCATGCGCTTCGTTTATCCATTTTATACGCTTGCCTCCTCTCTGTAATTCCCAATCCTTCATAAAATAACTTCGATCTTCATTCCATTGATCTGTAGAGGCTATAGTCGATAATTTTATGTACACCATAAGATGATTTCTACTAGCGGTATTTACAGGATGTGTTCATTACGGAGAACTTTCACCAGCCGACGACTTGACAATCTTGTATGTAATCAAGTACTCTGGATAAGCCTGTAAACAAAAGCAAAATAGCAAATAATTTGTCACGAACAGAGGCACTAAAAGACTAATTGAAAGTTCAAGGTGAAATTCATTGATTAAATGGGCCCATAAGTCCTTATCCACATGTAAACGTACCAACTCTCAATCTTTTTTCATCAGAAAACGTAACAAACTACATGTACTTGCGGCTAGAGTATAAGTGAAAACGTGAAAACGTTTGACAAACGCATAAACTGAACGCATCAAAGGCATATAATACTATAATTTCGAAAGAATTGTGGCTCACCTGCTCTCCCCTATACACCACATATTCAGCAAATGAGAGCCCTTCCGAGCTGGGACGACCAATAACAGAGTGGTGGCCCGGAGGTGAATGCGCCATCTTGACCGCGGAGAACTGGTAAAACGGCTTACCAAGGGCTACACGACATAATAGCAGTTGCCTGGGAATTCAAATAAAGACAGCTCGTTAGTTTTACGCCGTGGATTCTCCCCAGTCTCTGGACTGTGGGTTTGATTATTTGTGTACTTGCTGCCGAGAGTGATGGCTTATGGCAGTTGGCTTGTCACACAATCTTGCGTGACAAGCACAAAAAGCATCTCCCTAGAAATTCAGTTTCAGTTTAGTTTCGGGTGTTACACGCAGGAGACCATAAAGAGACTCAAACAAATGCGATCAGCAGTTACCTTTCGCACAGGTAGCAAGACTTGTCCTTGTGCAGCGCACAGCCAGATCCTCCACCAATGCCGTATACATACTGGTTGCTCTTGGAAGAGTTTTCCGCGAAGTAAATACCTGTACAGAAGCAAGCGTTAGTTTGTTCGGTGAAAGGGTACGCAGTGTCCTAAACTTTAAGCCGCAAAGCCTGACTGCGAGGGCAAAATCATGAACAATCCCTACCATAATCATCATCATCATAGTCCTCATCGCGCCATCGGACGCATAAGGCCTTACCCTACCATACTCAACTGGAACATTTAGCTCATTTAGCTCCAGGTCAGATGTGCATCCACGTGCACTTTCTGGTTTCATACAAGTTGTTTTTTTCTAGTTGGTCATCCACTGCTTGCTTTGGGTTTATTAAAAGTTATTCATCTGTTAGAATGGTTCAAGTTGCTCAATGAGAACCCTGCGTGCCAAGTTCTGACATCAATTATGTGACAAACGGCGTAAACGTCATGGTGATTTCAATTACATCACTTTCACATGTTTGTATAGCGATCTCTCAATGGTTTTTTAATCGATCTACGTCACGAGTTTGTTTATGATTGGCTCACTCCATCCTCATTTCATTTGCTTGCACTTTATGAACGATAGCGGGTGACAGAAACAGAAACCTTACCAGCTCCAAACATGCCTCCGATATAAGCATGGCGCTCGTCGAAACCTTTCTGTAAAATAGCGTGAATGAACGCCGAACCTAAATTAAAAAGATAATCACTCGAGGATTATTTACCGGTACTTAACATGATGCTATTATACGCTAAAAAGCTGTTACTCATTTTAAAACGTTGGGGAGACTTTGCAGCGGCTTAACGCGCGAGGATGTCTGGGATCGCTTGTGCCAGACTGCAAAAGTGGCGTCTGTTGGTACGTCTAGCGAACGATTCCATGAGCGTTTGCGCAATCGAGATTTTGCAACAGAGTCTGTGAGATATAGACAGGTTATGGTAACACATGTGTGTGTTGCCCACCCAACAACAATTACTTGAGCTGTAATAACTATTTTTATACGTGATATGAACCAGTACAAACCTAGCGGGTTTAAGGCAGAGGTAAGCCCTATTCCCTTGTTATCTAGACTATAGACCTGTAAGTATTACAATTAACCTGACCAACCTCGCTTTTAGTTGATAATTCAAAAGAATTTTTACTCTCAAATGAGGTTAGAGAGGTAAATTTAAATGCATACAATAGAACTTAAAATTGACAGCCATTTATGGAAAAGGTCTATAGGCTTAATAGGGATATTATTTTAACAATTTTAGGTAGTGTTTAGTTGAAACAATACCCACACTTAATACAACCCTCTGAATTGTCAACGAAGTCACGTGTTAACGTCAACTCAGCTATAAACCAGCTTAGTTAAAAAAATAGGCCACTAAATTGACGTCAAGTTAAGAAAAAAGTACTGAAATGTAGGACTCGTTCAAAATACACACCATGAAATAGCATTCTCTCGTTGCTGTGGTTATGATTCGCTTCAGCAACCTGCAATGAGTCAATGAACAACTCAGGACCAACTGTGAACAAACCAGCTCAATTTACAGAATGATGTCCATTCATCGAATGGTTTTCTTACATTGATTTTTATCGATTGACTTCACTCCGGGAAAATATGCTCACCTCTCTTCTTCGGTACACGTATTTATCCCAAAGTCTTTTGTTTATAACCCTCTGAATCTAAAAAAGAAACGCAAACAAACTTATTCGTAAGCAAGAACTGCCATTTGCAGCTCACTTTCCCTCTAGAGTCGAATCTTGTGTTTTATAATGAGGTTTTGACTGAGTCTCTACATGAAATTATTAATGTTTGACTGTGTAAACGAAAGCAACAACCACTGCTTTCCTGTAACTGAAGAAAGAAGCTCACGACGAAACTGTTATCGTTTGGGGGGGGGGGGGGGGGGGGGGGGGGGGGAGGCTTCCAAGCGAGCACCAGAGGCCCTAACTTGAAGAGAGTCTGGCGATATTTGTAAAATTATTATTTTATGTATTTTTTACTTGAAAATGGGGGGACCCCCAGCCCCATATCCCCGGCTCCGCCGTTCCCGAAAATACGCCCCTTAACCATTCTCCTCCCCATTGTACCTGAAGAAGGCTGGTTTGGCCAGCCGAAATATAGTACACATTCAAACAATCATTCTACGTTGTGTGGGTTTTTGCTTTTGTATTCTTCATTTTATATGTAAAAGCCGATTAGATCACTATTGATCCAACGCATACCAGCAGGATCATCGTTCCGGTTGCTTGCTTAAACATTTTATCCTCCCCAGAGGCCGCGCTCCTTTTGGTCAACACCAAGAATCGCGACCTTTGGAAAGGTCCAGTACCGGAAGTCCGCGATTCACGAGCTTCCCGTCACTCTGCGCATGCTCAGAGTCAAGTCTGACAAATCTGATTGGCTGAGAATACGAAACGATTACTCTGTGCATGCTCAGAAAATTGGACCTTATCAGAGGTTTTGATTCTTGGTGCTGACCAAAAGGAGCGCGGCCTCTGGGGACGAGAATGCCCTTTAACCTGTCTCAATAGGAGCCCATGGGCTCAAACATTTTTATCTCTTCAGAAACACGGAAGCAGCTGGACCGAATTGACGGGAAATAAAACACTCAACTATTAATGAACTTGAAGTTAACGTGAAGTTAACCCGGCTGTAGCGAGTTTGTGAAGCTGAGGTTAGGAGTGTTCTCTCTTCGTCAGAGAAAAGGACTTACACTCGAAACGTCAGTTTTCAACAAATATAACGGTCTAACCTTTTTATTAAAGTGCAATTACGACGTTAATCTATTCGAAGCGAACTTTCCCATGTTTTATCGCGAATTACCTTTTAATGGGAAATTTTATCCCTTGACGAATTCCATGAAAAATTTGGATTGAAAGTCAACTACCTGCACTACTTTCAAATTATCGCTGCCTTGCCAAGTTCGCTGAAGCAAGCTACACTGCAAACCCCAATCTCCAGTGAAGTAATATTCCGACCACTCCAGTCTATGCTGTACGACAGACCTCCATCCAAAGACGTAGACTGGATGTTCTCTTGCTTCTCGTAAAACAAACCAAACTCCAAATGCGATGGAGAATTGAATATTGTTCACTAAATTGATTTTGCAAGTTCCCCCCTCAATATAGCAAGGATTGTAAATAATAAGTATTGTAACCAGTGTGTGTGAGAATTCAAGGAGAGTCTAGGAAACAGTTGAAAGTGGTTAAGTTCCTCACTGACGGCACTCTCGCCTTAGCCTGGATGTAAAGTTCGCAGCTTTAAGCCATGCATGGGAGGGAGAAATTCAGAGTAACACAGATCCAAGCCAGTGGAATCGCATCCCCAGTGAGGACAATGGAGCTGACGACCTGTCGCGAGGGTTCCACGTTCATGGAATCCAAGACAGATGAATGGATGGCACGGAATTCCCATGGTCGACTCAGCTAGCTTCGCCACCTCCGGATGCAGACTTCGAACTTCGTCAGATACGGGTATCGACCCCAGTCGCAGTACAGAAAGCCGCATGATGTTATTGATTCATCCTCGTTCTCCGGCTGGAGAAAACCAATCCAAACGACGGCACGAATACGAAGGCCAGCACCGAAAATACAACTGAGAGACACGGCGAATACGGAAAGGAAGGACTGTGAACTCCTGAAGAGCTTCAGCACGTGGAGGGTTGCTGGATTAAGCACTGCGCAGAACACCCTATACATAGTCGCCTGGAGAGAGGTAACTTCAAGTCTTTCAGCCCGTTTAAAGAATTGGAGGCAGAATCGACAAGGCCGTAGTGACATACGAAGCAAAGCACCCCAATGACCCCGATAACGAACCATGCGCACAAATATGGTCACAGTGGAGTGGCAACCATAACCAGAAAATTTAGGAGAAAATACGGGATCATCATAGCCAAGAAAAGTAAGTCTGTCAAGTCCAAATGTGAGGTCTACAGGGGATGTTGCACAAACAAGACGCATGCAGCTGATGGCAGATCTCCCTGTGCCTAGCACTGCAAACACTGCAGTTTACCTTTGAAATTGTACACTTCTGTTTCCGGATGTGGTCCTGGTTTCGGATTTGAACGAAAATATTGGCGGATCGACAGATTTGGCGAAAAGAAGGCACAGATCGGTGGATTTGCCTGCCCCTATTCACCCCCCTCCTGATTGAAGAATTGTTGCTCATGGCCTCAGATCATCCTCCACTGGCGTTAGACATTTTACGCACAAATAAATGAATACTTATCCTTGCTAGTTCTAACGAAATTTCGGGAGCTGCATTTTAATTTCTGCGATACCCGTAAAAAAAATGTATAAGTATAAATTTTCGTGAGTATCAGTTTTCGCCTTTTTTCCCAAAAGGCGAAAATCACGAAATTTTGTACGTCCCAAAGCTAGTAACAATAAGGTAAACAGCTCATTTAGTAAAGATTTAAACATTTCCTTTTTAACTTGGAAAATGTTTATATTTTCACGTTGTAGTGGTTGGACGATGAACAGACAAGAGAATTGAGTAGCATTAGAACGACGCATTTCGCTGTTATTTATACCGTATTGTAAAGAAATACTTCAAAGATGAATACGGACATGTCGAAATGATTTGAAGAAAATAGCTGATAAATAGAAAAAAAGGCATAACACAAGACTGGGGTTCAGAAGTTATTACAACAAGAGGTAGCCCATCC